ACTGTCAGTTTGTTTTCCTCTGAGGAGGAGTTGTTTTTGCTGCGTGAGTGCTGTTGCTTTGTGTGCTCATTAAAACAGACCTGTTTTAATGAGCCTTGGCTCATTCTTGGGGGATGGGATAAGTCTGCAGTGCTGATGGTGTCGGTTGGAGTGCTTGAAGTCCTCGGCAAGCACTAGGAGCATCGATTGGCGGAGGTACTTGGTCGGAGTGCCAGCGGGTCCGTCACAATTGGTGGCAGCGACATGATTCAAACCTCACAGCAGACCATTGTTCGGCAGTTACAGCCATTTGGGAAATTTGCTATTTCGTATGGAACCGAAAGGAAAGGGTATGTGAATATACCTGAACGGATAGTGAATGGGGACAGACTATACCAACTTTTAACGGGCCACGCTAAAAGAACTATTGGAAGCAAGGGGAATTATTGCCAGCAATAAAACCAAAGCTACCCTTATTGCTGAACTCATGGAGGGAGACCGGGCAGCTGCTGCAGCACCTCTTATGGACAGCACACAGAATGAGTTTGGAAGAGAACTCCAAAGCAGACTGGCCTTTTTCCCAGGTACGCCTCCCACAGAAACCTTGGAAAGGATTATGGCAGATGTCCACGAATACATAATGGAAAGCAGCGGGCAGACCGGAGGTCCAGAGAGGGGTCCCTAATCACACCACACATAGTACCGGGGAAGCCTAAAATCCCGTACCATGCTTTTAAAAACTATGTGGAGACCGAAGACATCGATGGCTACTTGCATGACTTTGAGAGGTTATGCCAATTACATGAGATCAACGCCGCCGACCAGGTACCCCTGTTGGTGGGTAAGCTAGCGGGCCGGGCAGCAGAAGCCTACCGCACCATGCCAGACGAGGATAGCAGAGACTACCATGAAGTAAAGCAGGTGATCCTGGACAGGTATGCAATTCCCCTGGAGGCATACCGGCAGCGGTTCCGAGAAAGCCGAAAGACGGAGAAAGATACCCACATGGAGTGGGCACACCGCTTAACTAGGGCGGGCAAAGGTTGGGTGCAAGCCGTGCAAGCAACCACAGTGGAGGACATGCTACAATTACTGCTACTGGAGCAATTCTTCCAGGGGTTAACCCCGGATTTCCAAAACTGGCTGAGGGATCGGAAACCGCGCATCTTAACTGACGCCGCCAGGTGGGCAGACGAGTACCAAGATGCCAGGAGGGCACAGCGGGCACAGGCACGGTCCATCTTGGGAACTGCTAACCCACCTCCCACCATTAACCCCACCCCAGCACTGCGTCCGGGTGGTGGGAACTACCAAACCCCTCCACGGTATAACAATGCCCGATCTTTCATCCGGTGCCACACGTGTAACCAGCAGGGCCACATGCAGAGAGACTGTCCCAGAAACAGAAACTGCTCCACGTGGAATACTCCAACTAATTCCCCTGCAAACCGGGCAGCAGTACACTGCTACCAGAGTGAGCCTCGACAACCTTTCTTCGGGACCCGGTCTAATGAAGAATCTTTGGGCACCCTCCACGAGGTTAACCCAGTACAAGCAGCTGCAGACAACCGACAGGGACACCGCCAAGGGGTACACGTAGAGGGAAAACGCCTTCCGGGTCTGCGCGATTCTGGGGCCACCATAACCCTCGTTCGCAATCACCTAGTCCCCAAGCACCAGCTCACTGGAGAATATGTGGCAGTCCGGGTGGCAGGGGGAGCGATTTACAAAATTCCCACTGCTAAAGTACATTTGGATTGGGGAGCGGGGTCGGGGAATGTGGAAGTGGGCATCATGCAGGACTTACCAACTGATGTCATCCAGGGTAACAACTTGGGGGAGCTGACCTCCGCTTTTGATTCTCAGCACCCCGCGCAGGAAGCGCTACCCGTGGTAACACGGCAGCAGGCCCGCACCACCGCATCTTCTGAACACTCTGAGGCTCCGGTAAGTAACAGTACTGACCCACCTTTCGTCCCCTGGGCTCCCCCCTTAGAATTTGGTACTGAAGTAGTCACCGACCCGTCCCTGCAGGTATACCGGGATAGGGTTACACAGAATCAGGCAGGGTTGGAGGGGGAAAGATACGCTTGGGAGAAAGGATTATTGTATAGATATGCTGAGAAGGTAGTAGCAGGATCTGTACCCATGACCCTCACACAATTAGTTGTGCCCCGAAAGTACAGGCAAGAATTACTACGTATTGCCCATGACATCCCTTTATCAGGACATCTAGGCGTCAGTAGAAGCATCGTTTGACCCAAAACTTCTTTTGGCCAGGGGTCTCCAAAGATATTCGGCAGTATTGCCAAACTTGTGACACATGCCAGAGAGTAGGGAAGAGATGGGACCGGTACAAGGCAAAAATGCACTCCCTACCCATAATAGATGAACCCTTCAGTAGAGTGGCAGTAGATATAATCGGACCCCTAGCAAAACCCAGCCCATCAGGGAAGAAGTATATACTAACCATAGTAGACTATGCCACCCGGTACCCAGAGGCCGTAGCCCTAACTAATATCCATGCGGAGACTATAGTAGATGCCCTAATCCGGATATTCTCCAGAATGGGGTTCCCCAAAGAGATTATCTCAGATCGGGGTACCCAATTCACAGCCAAAGTCACTCATCAGTTATGGAGAACATGTGGGGTGAAACCTATTGTAAACTCAGCGTATCACCCCCAGTCCAATGGGCTCTGTGAACGGTTCAACTGAACCTTAAAGCAAATGCTCCGTACCTTCATGGATACCCAGAAGGACTGGGAAAGGTTTCTTCCCCATCTGCTCTTCGCGTACCGAGAGGTACCCCAGGAGTCCACGGGGTTCTCGCCATTCGAATTACTATTCGGAAGGAGAGTGCGGGGTCCCTTAGACCTTATTAGGGAACACTGGGAGGGAACAGTCACCAGTAACGGTACCCCTATCGTCCCATATGTACTAGAGTTCAGGGAACGCTTGGAGACCCTAATCCAGACGGTACGGTCTATTCTCCAGGCAGCCCAGCAACGACAGCGCAAATGGTACGATAGGGGAGCCAGAGACCGCAGTTTTCAAATAGGACAAAAGGTGTTAATCTTGAAGCCAGTCCAAAATGACAAACTGCAGGCCTCCTGGCAGGGCCCTTATAAGGTGGTGGAACAGGTATGTGACACCACCTATATAATTGCCCCATGTACAGGAGCAGGCGGTAGACGCATGCTCCACGTTAACATGCTAAAACCCTATCACGAGCGGACCGAAGAAGTAACTGCCATATGTGCCTCGGCTGCCGAGGACCCGGATAATCTACCCCTACCAGACCTATTAGCCCAAGGGGGGGCCAACACCGAATTAGGGGAGGTACAGCTAGGAGACAGGCTGAGCACTAGTGAGCGAGCTCAAATACTAGAGCTGATCCGAGAAAAAAGGGATACATTCTCCAACCAGCCCGGGTATACCCCGCTGGCTACCCACAGGGTAGAAACCCCAGGGGAAACACCCTCTTCGACAAACCTCCTACCGCATACCCGAATCCGTAAAAGATCATATGCGGAAGGAGATTGACGAAATGTTACAACTAGGAGTGATAGAACACTCTGATAGCCCATGGGCCTCTCCGGTAGTGCTGGTACCGAAGCGGGACGGAACCACCCGCTTCTGCGTCGACTACCGGAAACTTAATGATAAAACAATTTCAGATGCCTATCCCATGCCCCGAATCGATGAGCTCTTAGATAAAATGGTGAGGGGCCAGTACCTCATCACAATAGACTTGTGCAAAGGGTACTGGCAGATCCCACTAGCTGAGGATGCCATCCCAAAGTCCTCATTCGTCACCCCATTTGGGCTATACCAATTCAAGGTGATGCCATTCGGGATGAAGAATGCGCCGGCTACGTTTCAGCGGATGGTGGACCGGTTACTGGACGGATCCCAGGAGTATGCTTGCGCCTATTTAGATGACATAGCAATATTTAGCAACTCCTGGGACGAGCACTTGACCCATATAGTAACCATCCTCGACCGCATCAGGGAGGCAGGTCTCATGTGAAAACCCAGCAAGTGCCACGTAGGGATGGCCGAAGTGCAGTACTTGGGCCACAGGGTGGGCAGTGGGCAGCAAAAGCCAGAACCCGCTAAGATAGAGGCCGTAGCTAAGTGGCCAACCCCTCGCACGAAAACTCAGGTTTTAGCTTTTCTAGGGACCGCCGGGTATTACCATAAATTTGTACCTAATTATAGTGCCCTAGCCAAGCCCCTTACTGACCTCACCAAAAAGAACTTACCCAAAGTAGTGACCTGGAGCCCAGAGTGTGAGAAGGCATTCCAAGAACTGAAAACTGCCCTAATTCATGCCCCTGTACTGGCCGCTCCCGATCCAACTAAACGCTTTCTCGTTCATACAGATGCTTCTATGTTTGGATTGGGAGCAGTGCTGAGCCAAGTTGGGGCCGATGGCGGCGAGCATCCAGTCGCTTACTTAAGTCGGAAACTACGACCCAGGGAAGTAAGCTATGCCGCCATCGAAAAGGAATGCCTGGCGGTGGTGTGGGCCCTCAAGAAACTACAGCCCTACTTATATGGACAACAATTTGCCTTGCTCACAGATCACAACCCGTTGGTGTGGCTAAACCGGGTGTCAGGGGACAACGCTAGACTACTGAGATGGAGCTTGACACTACAACCATTTGATTTCACCATCCAGTATCGCCCAGGGAAACAAAATGGTAACGCCGACGGGTTGTCCAGACAGACAGAACTCGAGAAATGATCTGTGAGCACTCCTCCGGACATCCCCCAAGCAGATTCGTTGGGATCAGACTGTGTATGCCGGCTTGGTTCTGGGGGAGCATTGTGGCAGAAGCAGCCACAAGAGACTTTTGCATTGATTATTGCCTGTATTTGAACTGTATGTTATTTGAGCATAGACTGGTTGACAAAGGATTTTATTAAATGCTCTGACAAAGGATCTGCAGTTTTGCTATGCACTTCGGATGCAGAGTGTGAAGAAAAAAAAACCCTGTTTTATGGACTTAGTTTGACTGTTTTATTCCCCTCCCTCCTAGAACACCAGTTTAAAAACCCTTAATAACTGTCATATTTTCAAACGCTGTCTGTCTTTAACTGTCAGTTTGTTTTCCTCTGAGGAGGAGTTGTTTTTGCTGCGTGAGTGCTGTTGCTTTGTGTGCTCATTAAAACAGACCTGCTTGACCCTTTCTTGAAGCCTTGGCTCATGCTTGGTGGATGGGATAAGTCTGCAGTGCTGATGGTGTCGGTTGAAGTGCTTGAAGTCCTCGGCAAGCACTAGGAGCATTGATTGGCGGAGGTACTCGGTCGGAGTGCCAGCAGGTCTGTCACTGTATGTGTATGTATGTGTGTGTATATATGTATGTATATATGTATATGTGTGTGTGTGTGTGTGTGTGTGTGTGTGTGTGTGTGTGTGTGTGTATATATATATATGTGTGTGTGTGTATATATGTGTGTGTGTGTGTGTGTGTGTGTATATATATGTGTGTGTGTATATATGTGTGTGTGTGTGTATATATGTGTGTGTGTATATATATGTGTGTGTGTATATATGTGTGTGTGTGTGTGTATATATGTGTGTGTGTGTGTGTGTATATATGTGTGTGTGTGTATATATGTGTGTGTGTATATGTGTGTGTGTGTATATATGTATATATATGTGTGTGTGTGTATATATGTATATATATGTGTGTGTGTATATATGTATATATGTGTATATGTGTGATATATATATATATATGTGTGTGTATATGTGTGATATATATATATATATGTGTGTGTATATGTGTGAATATATATATATATATATATATATATATATATATATATATATATATATATATATATATATATATATAAATAAATGTGATCAACATTTCAGCTCACACGGAGCTTTCGTCAGGATCCATGTGTGAGCTGAAACGTTGATCACTTTTGGCAGTTGCTGAATAAAGCTAAGTTGTTTTTCACCTTATATGAAGTCCCTGGAGTGCTTTTCACATTTTTCTACCTATTATTTCTGCCGACAAGCACCGGGCTATATATACTTCTTTACAGGAGTTATATATATATATATATAATGTGTGTGTATGTATATATGTGTATATTCAACAAAAATACCGTCACTCCAAGGATTTTCAAATGGATTTCTTCTTTTATACCAGAATAGTCATCAACGTTTCAGCTCTTTCATGGAGCTTTCATCATTATACAAATAACATACTATTAGACACAAGCTTATATAGGACACAATAATCAGGTAAATACTTACGTATCCAGGTGATGCTCATTCACTGCTGCCGCCGAGCGTGTCTCAGTCACATCTACGCTTGTTTGATTTCTTCCGGGTGACAGCCCCCGTGGTAAAGGAGAGAGTGAGTAGATTGGCCGGGCGCACCACGTTTCCAGAGCAACCAGAGAAGCTCAACTCTCAATGGTTACTCCAGCGTGTATTGGCGCCGCGGAGGGACAAGTTTCACTAGTTCACTACAACTCCTTCTTTGTTGAAGCGTTGTGATCGTCAAGTCACAACAATTGGAACATACTGGAACTAGACTCCTCTCTCCCGGAAGATCTCCGCCATGAAGCCTATGTTCTGTTTCCGACGTAACAGGAATTTGAGAGATATTTTGGTTAAAACAGATCCATAGCATTGTTATGGACCTACCAAAAAAGAGAACAAAATTGTAGTATGTGTAAGGTGTTTGGGATGCGTAACATGTCATCTATAAACTGACATGCCCTTGCGGCCTCAACTACATAGATAAAACGGAGACGGCGCTCTGTGAGAGCATTAGGGGCCACAGATCAAGCATCCGGCTTGCTTACCGAGATGGCAAGTTGGACAAACCTGTGGCCCGACATTTTCTAGAGTTTCAACACCAATTAACATCCTTTATATGTCTTGCAATTGAGAATGTCCCTGTCCCAGCTTGTGGTGGAGACAGGCAAACCCTTACTACAAAGAGAAACCTATTGGATAATTCAGCTTAATACCTTGTCACCTAAGGGTCTGAATGAAAATTGTTCCTTTACAGTTTTTTTTCTTTGAATAGCCCAATAACATTTTCATATGTCTTTCATAGTAGGAAGGGGTAATCAAACAACTGGTCTAGTAAAGATATCTTATGCATGGCTTTGAGCACTTCATTCCAATATTATCACATATATATTGATAGTACTTATGTTCTTTTAAATTATAATATATATTTTAAATATATATATATATATATTTTTTTTTTATTCTAGTGTAAATACATTATAATGAGACTTTAGGAGAGAAGCATGGAGTTACAATTTGGAGGATGTACATAAAGTTATGTTCTTGAAGTATACCATGCTAAATTTAAAATGATGTATTATACATTGTATTATACAATTGGGCAGACTAGATGGGCCGAATGGTTTTTATCTGCCGTCACATTCTATGTTTCTATGTTTCTATTGATCACCACACATTGGTACTTCAAGTCTTTTTTACACTTATATTTAAAACTCATTAGCAACACGTAGTTTGTGACATACACATTATCTACTAAATGTCTTGACACATGAAGAAAGTTGTTTTTCTCATGATGTATTATCAGTGTTTCTGCTTTGGAACTTAAATGTATTCTCCATTTATTTTCCAGTAAGTGCAATTATATTTGCATGAATCTCTATTAGTATCCAGAGCTTACGCCTCCTTTAAATATTTGAAGTTCACACACTGTAAATTCCACTGATTTTTGTTTTTTATTAAATCAATATTATGCCTCTATTATAAATACACTATCTTTCTTTCTCTGTCCTCCTATGTCTCCAGATGTCCCCTTCCTGCTGTTCCGTCCGACCGCGTTCCGGTTGCTATCACAACACTTCAACAAAGAAGACGTTGTAGAGAAATAGTGAAACTTGTCACTCCGCGGCGCCGGTACACACGGGAGTAACCAATGAGAGTTGCGCTTCTCTGGTTGCTCTGGAAACGTGGTGCGCCCGGCCAATCCACTCACTCTCTCCTTTACCATGTGGGCTGTCACCCGGAAGTAATCAAACAAGCGTGGATGCGACCGAGGCGCGCTCGGCGGCGGCAGTGAATGAGCATCACCTGGAAACGTAAGTATTTACCTGATTATTGTGTCCTATATAAGCTTGTGTTTAATAGTATGTTATTTGTATCCTGATGAAAGCTCCATGAAGGAGCTGAAACGTTGATGACTATTTTGGAATAAAAGAAGAAATCCATTTGAAAATCCTTGGAGTGACGGTATTTTTGTTGATTTATTGTTGGGCTACCAGAGCACCAGGTACCACCTTCTTTTAAGATGGAGTGCAGGAATTTCCTACATTTAAAAAAAAAAAAAAAAAAAATTATATATAATTTTACAGCTTTACAGTATATTCTTCATGTAATGAGAGATCTCTTTTCACATGTCGATAAAGTGTCTGCACACTGGGTCCAAACCATGTTGGTTTTGATCCACTATTTGTCATCCCATACCTTAAGGGCTACCCTACTTAGCGGTAAAATTATTTTACCATTTGAGAGCTCCAAACAATCCGCTCAGAATCCAGCACCTACCTTATGCATTAAGACCTAAAAAGCATCCAAACCCACTGCAGAATGTTTTGGACCGGCGCCGGAATGAAACAGCCGCGCAAGAAGCGTGGTCACAGGCAAGAATCACATCCCAGTGTACTGGAGCTGATGTCAGCTCCTCACTCACTACAGGCCTCACAAGATGGTCGCCAGAATAGCCCATGCGGCTCTCCCTCCCCAGTGTCCATGGAGGGGATGATGAGCATGACTTCCACACGGGGGAGGCAAGCCAAATACTCCAAAAGCTCATGGAGGTAAAAACCTACCTCACAAGCGAGATCTCCCGCAACTCTAAAGAAGTGAAGGCGGAGATACAGGCCCTCAGGGCTCGCGCGTTCCAACTGGAGCACAGGGTGGAATCAGTGGTACAGGCGCAGAACACGACTATATCACATGCAGAACTCATGGCCCAGCAGATAGACCAGAGAGAGATGCAGGTAGATCTATCAAACCACTCCAGGCACAACAATCTGCGCGTTTGGGGCCTACCCGAGTCACCTAACAAGGGGCCGTTAGCCCAGAATATGGAGCAATACAGATGGCATCAAGCACAGCTTGAACTTTGGGGAGGTGGGATTCCCAGTCTGCACTCTGGGTGAAGACATCATCCAAATATGCTGTACCATAGCGATCATGGGGTTTAAGAATTATGTCCCTCATTCGTTGGAATGTGGCAGGTGCCCCATGTAACCCAAACGGCAATACAGTGTACTGAAACAGGCCAATGGGTGTTGAAAAGGCTATCTTTTCTTTGGCTCTTTCAGTGAGAGGGGCCTTCCAGTAACCCTTTGTTAAATCCAAGGTTGTCCGATAACGAGCTTTACTCAGTCTTTCTATTAACTAATCAACTCTGGGCATTGGGTAAGCATCACATTTTGACATGACATTTAACTTGAGGTAGTCATTACGTAACCTCCATCAGGTTTTGGCACCAATACAATAGGACTGCTCTGGTTTTTCTGGGATTCTTCAATGACTCCAAGTTTTAACATGTTCTCAACCGCTAAGTTTAAAATCTCCCTCTGAGCCTCAGGAATTCTATAGGGTTTGAGATGTACTCTTTTCCCTGGTTCGGTCATTATGTCATGTTTGATCACCTCAGTCGTTCCTGGAACTACCGAGAAAACATCCCTATTTCTTTTGATGAAATCTCTGACCTCTTGCTTCTGATGTACAGACAGTCTCCGATACGTTCACCTCTGGCTCTACTATAGGAGGTTCTGAAGGTTTTAAAGTGTTTAAAGTCTTTCCATGACTTTAACAGATTTAAATTCCTGTTCAGGCTTTCTTCTTCCTGGTTGTCTGACTTTATAATTGACATCTCACTTTTTCTATTATTTCATATGGTCCATGCCAAGTCACAAGGAACTTGTTCTCCACAGTAGGGACCAGAACCAAGACCCTGTCTCCCGGTTGGAACACTCTGACTCTAGTATTACGATTATAGCTGTTTTTCTGAGCCTGCTGGGCTTCCAGCATGTGTTCCCTGACAATAGGCATGATAGTGGCCATTCTATCCTGCATTTGAGCTGTATGTTCAATTACTCCTTTGAGGAGTAGTCTCCTGTTCCCAGGTCTACTTAGCAATATCCAGTATTCCCCGGGAATGTCTTCCATATAACAATTCAAAAGGAGAGAGAGGCCTGTGGAACTTCCCTAATGGAAAACAGTAGATATGGCAATACAAAAATCCCAATTTTTCCCATCTGCATCAGTTACCTTATGTAGCATACTCTTAAGGGTTTTGTTTAACCTCTCTACTAAATCATCTGTGGGTGATATACTAAGGTCTTAAGATATTTAACCTGTAAGAGCCTGTACAACTCTTTTGTGACTCTGGACATGGTCTGTCAGGATTTCTTTAGGGATACCCACCCTACTGAACATCAACACAAGTTCATTAGCTATTAATTTTGCAGAGGTATTACGCAGAGGGGACGGCCTCAAGGTAGCGAGTTGCATAGCCCAGCGGACTTTACCAGTGGCCCCACTAAGTCCATAGCGATCCTTTCAAAAGGCACATCAATTATGGGTAAGGGTACAAATGTACTACGGAAAGTCTTGAAAGGAGCCATGTACTGGCACTCAGGACATGAGGAACAATAGTTTTGTTATAGCAGCAAAAACTCCAGGCCAGTAAAACCTTCTAAGGACTCTCTCTCTAGTTTTTTTTCGACTCCTAAGTGCCCACCTAATATGTGGCTGTGAGCCAATTTTAGTACTGTGTTTTGGTAAGTCCGGGGAACCAACAGCTGCTTAATAATATCCTTCTTTTCTACGCGTTAAATAAGGTCATTTTGTACTTCAAAATAGGGGAATGGCAGTGCTTCTCCTGGCTGATTAGCAACCCCATTTACAATTTTAATATCATTTCTAGCTGTCACTAAAGTGGGATCTTCCCACTGAGCACTTTTAAAATTATCTGGACTGATCCCAACATCAATTAAGTCATCATCCTTGTCTGTAGTATTAATAGGCTCCTCCCTAGTTTGATTAATAGGGTTATCTCCTATTAATACTGGTTTAGGGCAGTATTTGTTACTTTTTTCTTATTTGTCTGTCATAGTGGCCAAAACCCACGTCAATATTGGAAAAAGGGAATACAATATCTCTGCAGATTGACTTTCTGCTGAACTTTGGCCTGTCTTTTGTACAGCTGCCCACAATTTGAAAAAATGAGGAAAGTCTCTACTGATCACTACCTTAATGGGCTAATCTAGGTACTACACCCACTCGTTACTTTAAATCCCCATACTGGGTTCCGATATTTACTTCAGAAGTGGGGTATTCCTTTTTTTTATCACCATGAACACAGGTAATGCCTATTTTCTGAACATGATCAGGTTTTACACAAGGTATTATAGACTCTGCTAACAATGCAACCATATTACCTGAATCAAGTAATGCTTTAGACATGTTTCCATTCGCATTTACGATGCATTTACGATTATCAGTACCAGAACAGTTGAACAAAAATGAATGTGCTCCCTTATCTTTGCCCATATTGCATTCCATAGGTTCATCCTTCAATGGACAGTCCTTCGCCATGTGACCATTCTCTTTGCACTTGAAACAGTATAATCAGGTACTTCTCCAACCGATTATTCTGCACAATGAAGTTATAAAAAAAAAAAAGGAAAACTCTGAGAGAAAGTGAACAAGCAATCAAATATTGTATAAAGTACTGCATGCCTCAACAATATGACCTTCTTTTCTGTATTGCAAAACATACCTGCATTATGAAGTGGTTTGTGCACAAGCTTTACATTGTCGAGACGCTGCATTGTTTGTCAGTGCAAAAATAAAGAATAGAAAAAAAAAAAATATATATTAATAAACCACCTATTTTACTGGTAGGATTTTGTCATTACAGTAACCACAGCCTTCTAGGGTAATCAAAGTCCAGGACACATCCAGTTCGGTTTTCTTTTTTTTTTTATTTGATAAGAAAAACAGGTGCCTTAAATAATAAACAAAACAAAATTCCTTGCTTTTACTAGATAGAAATCACGGTCTGTAATTGGGTGGCTTTCCCACATCGCTGCTACCCTTAGCATTAGGATTATTCCAGAAGTCCATTAGGACTTCTTTGCTAACAGTCTTTTAAATCCACTCTACTGCATGCAGCCAAGATTAGTAATTTATATAGACCACCGGACTTGTCACTTGGACACAGCATTTTCAGCTTCTAATTATTGTAAGGCACTTTGTCACCTATATTTGAGACAGAACATGGGATAAACACTTCTACTATACTTTGAGCCTTACTTAAAATACATATATGAGAGATCTGTCTACATATACTGGTTTCAACCAATAGTATATACTACAGGTACTGATCTCCACATATACACAATTATATGATTATTCTTACCCCAGGTTTTTAAAGGTGTGGTGGTGGTTTTTTTTTTTTGTCTAACATACTGTGGGTTGTGTTCACACCTTTTTTCGCGTGGATTAGATTGTGTTGTGTGTGTGTGTTTGGTTTTCAATAAAGTCTATTACCATATATGATATTTTAATAATAGATGTAATTCTAGTGAAGTGGGTCCCATCTAATTTTTATTTATATATATATATATATATATACACACACAATGTGTGTATATACTTTTATTTTATATATATATATATATATATATATACTATTATACTATGATATATTATACATATATACACCCTGTTCCAAATTATTATGCAAATTCTATTTGTGTCACAAAGATGAAATATTTTGTTTTTCAGTTTAACTCATGGATGGCATTGTGTCTCAGGGCTCTTTTGATCACTGAAAACAATCTTGGACACCTGTAATAATTAGATTGCCAGGTGAGCCCAATTTAAGGAAAAACTACTAAAGGAGGGTGTTCCACATTAAGCAGAGCACCGTTTTCATGCAGTATGGGGAAGAAAAAGGATCTCTCTGCTGCCAAAAAGAGTGAAATAGTTCAATGCTTTGGACGAGGTATGAAAACATTAGCTATTTCACTAAAACTGAAGTTTGATCATCGCACTGTTAAGAGATTTGTGGCTGATTCAGAGCACAGACTGGTTCGTGCAGATAAAGGCACACTGAGGAAGATTTCTGCCAGATCCATGTATCGGATTAATAGAGCAGCTGATAAAATACCATTACATAGCAGCAAACAGATATTTGAAGCTGCTGGGGCCTCTGGAGTCCCACAGACATCAAGGTGTAGAGTCCTCCAGAGTCTTGCAACTGTGCATAAACTTTCTATTCGGCCACCCCTAACTAATGCTCACAAACAGAAACGGCTGCATTGGGCAGAAAAATACATGAAGACTAATTTTCAAACAGTCCTGTTCACTGAAGAGTGATGTGCAACCCTGGATGGTCCAGATGGATGGAATAGTGGATGGTTGGTGGACGGCCACCCTGTCCTTGCGACGTCAGCAAGGCGGTGGTGGAGTCATGTTTTGGGCCGGAATCATGGGAAGTGAGCTGGTCGGCCCCTTTAGGGTCCCCGAAGGTGTAAAGATGATCTCTGCAAAGTATGTGGAGTTTCTGACTGACCACTTTCTTCCCTGGTACAGAAGGAAGAACTATGCTTTCCGTAAAAAAAATCATCTTCATGCATGACAATGCACCATCTCATGCTGCAAAGAATACCTCTGCATCAATGGCTGCTATGGGGATAAAAGGAGAGAAAGTCATGGTGTGGCCTCCATCCTCCCTGACCTCAATCCTATTGAGAACCTTTGGAGCATCCTCAAGCAAAAGATCTATGAGGGTGGGAGGCAGTTTACATCCAAACAGCAGCTCTGGGAGGCTATCCTGACATCTTGCAAACAAATTCAAGCAAAAACTGTCCAAATACTCACAAGTACAATGGATGCAAGACTTGTGAAGCTGCTGTCAAATAAGGGGTCCTATGTTAAAATGTAACATGACCTGTTAAAATGTTTAAAAAGTTAAAATGTTGTTATAAGTTTGATTGAAATAGCTTTTGATTTCAGTAAATATGCTGCAAACACAACAAATGACAATTTTCAGTTCTTTACAACCTATAAAGTGTTTTGAAACTTACTGTGCATAATAATTTGGAACAGCAAGTTTTTAAAAAAATACTGTTATCATTAGGAGATTTGTTCAATACAATTTGAATTGTACTCTTAATAGTTGATAACATGAGAATTATGCTGACTGTTATTTACATCAATTATTTAGGTAAATGAGAATTATAATTTGCATAATAATTTGGAACAGGGTCTAATGCATATATGATTTAATTATTGTGGCGATGTGATCACATGACACTGGAAGGCCGCGGTGGCCAAAACTGCAGCAGGGGGACTGCTGGGATCTCCGGTAGTACCCCCCCGACTGTGATCACCTGTCGCGGTTGTACTAGGGACATTTGCAGACATTAACAACCGTTTTTTGGGTTTTTTTTGGGGGGGGGGTTGTGTGTGTGTGTGTATATATATATATGTGTATATATATATATATATATATATATATATATATGTATATAATTCTAAAGTGTGTGTGTGTATATACACACACACTTTTTCAAATTATTTGGTTTTTATTTATTTTTAAATATTTTAATATATATACACACATACATATATACATAGTTATTATATGTATTATATATGTGCATTTTTACTCTAAGCATGTTTTTATATTTATATATTAAAAAATACACTTAGTATGTATGTATGTATGTAGATATATATATATGTATGTATGTAGATATATATATATATATATATATATATATATATATATATATATATATATATATATATATATATATATACATTTATTAACTTTATTTTAACTTTTTAAAAACTTATTATTAACTTAATTTTAACTTCTTTTCACCAGTTGGGGGACTGCCTGTCAGTTCAGATAGTCCCCGTGCTGGCAGCACTGTGGACACCTGTTGCAGCCATTTGACTGCTCTTTTAGAGCGGCCACATGGCCCTTGGGGGTCCTAAATTGCAGCCTTTCTGAGCCCAGACAGTCCTCCCTAAGAAGAAGACTGATCGCCGATGGGGGAATGGCGGCGATCAGCAAGTACATGGGAGCGGGAGGAAGGGTAGGGGTTATTTTTTATTTATTTATTTTAACTGTAACTGAGTGCCTCTCGAGGCACTGAGTACAGGCAGAGCATCTGATGCTCTGCCTCACTGACGGGCTCCACGTAGTGCAACCCGGAAATGATCGCTCTCGGAGTGATCACCCGGTGTTCTCTGGTGGCCAGGCAGTGGGAGGGGAAGGGGCGGGTGGGGGGTGTATTGCAGTGGTTCCTCAACATCCAGGCAACGCCGCAATACCATTAGAGCTACTGGGAGCAATCATGATCGCTTCCAGGGCTCTAATTCCCCACAAACATATCCGGTATGCCTGCGGTCCTTAAGGACCATTTTTTGTCGGACATATCTGATACACCCGAGGTCACTAAGAGGTTAACAGCTGAATATATCTGGGTGAAGGTAGGTCAGGTTTCTAATTTAGAAATCATAATTGGCTAAGGAATATATGGTTATAAAAATGCCATTCCTGCAGGTGGAATAATTAAACAATATATTCACTGGTAATTTGCCAAAATTAGAATACTGAAATTTTAGAAACATGGAAACATAGAATGTGACGGCAGATAAGAACCATTCGGTTCATCTAGTCTGCCCAATTTTCTAAATACTTTCATTAGTCCCTTGCCTTATCTTATAGTTTATAGTTATCTTATAGTTCTAAATACTTTCATTAGTCCCTTGCCTTATCTTATACCTTACTGCTGATAACTTTGCATGTTACTTCACAAAATTGAACAGCTAAGGAAAGAATTCTCCCCTCCTTGCATTTCTGTTTCTCAATCACACATAGATCATGCCTTTCCTACCCTTCAGACATTCTCCCCAACCACTGACCAAGAGGTGGCTGCTCTTCTTTGCTCCTCTCGCCCAACCACTTGCCCGCTCGATCCTGTCCCATCTCACCTTATCAGATCTCTCTCCACTTGTCTCGTGCCTTCTCTAACACACATCTTCAACTGCTCGCTCTCTTCTGGCATCGTCCCTGCAGACCTTAAACATGCCACTGTAGTACCTATACTAAAAAAACTATCCCTGCTCCCTTTTTCCTCAAAGCTTCTGGAAAGACCCGTGTGTCTCATTTCCTCAATTCCAACTCTCTCCTTGACCCCTTTCAATCTGGCTTCCGCCCTCTTCACTCTACAGAGACTGCCCTTATCAAAGTTACGAACGACCTAATCGTAGCTAAATCCAAAGGCCACTACTCCATACTAATTCTTCTTGACCTCTCAGCGGCCTTTGACACCGTTGATCATGCTCTCCTTCTTCAAACTCTGCAATCGCTTGGTCTCTGTGACTCTGTCCTCTCATGGTTTTCCTCTTATCTCTCCCAATGCTCATTCAGTGTCTCTTTTTCTAATGATACCTCCTCCCCTCGCCCTGTCTCGGTTGGAGTCCCCCAAGGCTCCGTCCTTGGTCCCCTTCTATTTTCTCTTTATACTGCCTCTCTTGGCAAACTTATTACCTCATTTGGATTCCACTACCACCTGTACGCTGATGACACCCAGCTATATCTCTCCTCCCCGGACCTCTCCCCTGCTGTCCTGCAACGTGTCACTGCTTGCCTTCCTTCCATCTCTGAATGGATGTCCTCCCGCTTTCTGAAACTAAATCTCTCAAAAACTGAGCCTTGTCTTTCCTCCTCCTAATACTGATCCTCCTCTTTCGCTCTCCCTTCAAGTTTGTGGTACCAACATCAGCCCATCCTTGCAAGCGCACTGTCTTGGCGTCATACTTGACTCTGGTCTCACCTTTGAGCCTCACATCCAGCATGTTGCCAAATCCTGTAGATTCCATCTTAAAAACATAGCCCGCATCCGCCCCTTTCTTGCACCAGATACTACCAAGGAGCTTGTCCATGCTCTAATAATTTCCCGCATGGATTATTGTAACCCTCTCCTGCTTGGTCTTCCCAAAAGCCGTACTGCACCCCTACAGTCTGTAATAAACGCTGCTGCTAGACTGATTTTCCTCTCTAATCGGTTCTCTCACACCTCACCCCTCTGCCAGTCCTTACATTGGCTTCCTGTGTGCTATAGGAGTCAATTCAAGGCACTAACTCACACATATAAAGCACTGAACAACTCTAGCCCCTCTTATATCTCCTCACAGATCCATAGGTATGTCCCTTCTCGGTCTCACCGCTCTGCCCGTGACCACCTCCTGTCCGTTGTCCGCACCCGTACGGCCAACTCGCGCTTGCAGGACTTCTCACGGGCGGCTCCCTTCCTATGGAATAGCCTGCCTCCCGCCATCAGACTCTCCCCTAGTCTTGCATCTTTTAAGAAGTGCCTTTAAACCCATCTCTTTAGGAAAGCTTATGGCCTCCAAGACTAACCCCTACCTCACATACCTGTCTCTTGCCCTCTCCTAAAGGGCAGCCCACCTTATTTGATTGCAAATTCCTGTCCTACTGTGTTTTACGACCCACCTCCTATAGAATGTAAGCTCAATTGAGCAGGGTCCTCTTCAACCTATTGTTCCTGTAAGTTTATTTGTAACTGTCCTATTTATAGTTAAATCCCCTCACATAATATTGTGAAGCGCTACGGAATCTGTTGGCGCTATATAAATGGCAATAATAATAATAATAGTTAGGATAGCCTTATGCCTATCCCACGCATGCTTAAACTCCTTTACTATGTTAACCTCTACCACTTCTGCTGGAAGGCTATTCCATGCATGCACCACCCTCTCAGTAAAGTAATACTTCCTGATATTATTTTTAAACCTTTGTCCCTCTATTTTAAGACTATGTCCTCTTGTTCTGGTAGTTTTTCTTCTTTTAAATATAGTCTCCTCCTTTACTGTGTTGATTCCCTTTATATATTTAAATGTTTCTATCATATCCCCCCCTGTCTCGTCTTTCCTCCAAGCTATACATGTTAAGATCCTTTAACCTTTCCTGGTAAGTTTCATCCTGCAATCCATGTTTAGTAGCCCTTTTCTGAACCCTCTCTAAGGTATCAATATCCTTCTGAAGATAGAACTGTACAATACTCCAAGTGAGGTCTCACCAGTGTTTTACCTAGAGATGTTGATTTATTCTAAATTAAGGATAGTAATCTTTAATTAGCAAAGTTAAAATTTTCTGGTAACATAAACTCTGGTTAGAATTATTCTTATTGGTCCTTCGATGAGACATGGTTATCTGATCTGGTATGAGACATATTGCATTTGTCATTGCAATATAAAAGGTAATTGCCTGTGAGGATTGTAGCCAACAATAAATGAGTTAATTCAGTGTGATTTGACTGGCAACTAAAAGTCTGTATTGCTTTGTGCTGTGCTGCTGTTAGATACTGTATTCTGTGTAAAGGAATTTCAAACTGATGCTATGTAAGAAGAAATAGCTTTGCTGATTTCAAAGTGAAGTGTCATGTCATAAATCTTGTTTAAATTTGCATCTGTCGATATATATGTTGCTATTTAGCTGTCTGTAAACTGTGTTAAACTATTGCCATATTATATAAATATGTTCTTCATAAATATTCACTGATGATTGTCATGCATGTTACACATTATTATAAATATTATCACAATAAATTGTATTTCTATAATTAGTTTGTGATTAATGTGTGAAATACAAATCCTCTAATAAGAACATACTCCAGGATCTATAAGAGTTAAAATAGTGGGTAGCTCTTAGCTTTAAATTAATCAAGGGGGAAAAGTGTCAATATATCAATTTTTGATATAATTAAAAAAAAAAAAAATAATTTTTTTTTGATAAATATATATTTTTTTTAATGGAAATATTGTTTTTAATATTTTTCAACTCAAAAAAATCCTCACCAAGTATTACTTTTCTGAGAGGGTAGTAGATGCATGGAATATCCTTCCTGCTAAAGTGGTAGCGGTTAACACAGTGAAGGAGTTTAAGCATGCGTGGGATAAGCATACGGTTATCCTAGCTATAAGATAATGCCAGAGACCTAATAAGAGTATTTAGAAAACTGGGCAGACTAGATGGGGCAAATGGTTCTTATCTGCCGTCACATTCTATGTTTCTATGAATAAACTATGTAAATTAGAAATGGAATGGGTATGTAAACCAGACACACTGCACCCAAAGGTGTAGTTTGATTTGTTTAATTTTATCTGATTATATACTGTAATTTTTACTATTGTATCCATGTATGTGTATTTATATGGTATCTTTTTTTGTTCCTTTTTTTATTATAAATATTCCACTTAACACACTATTTGTAAATATATTTAATCCTAATATATATAGCTTTATCAATCTACTTTATATTAACAACCTGATCTATGGTACTAACCTGCTTTGTTACCACACTTCTTTATACCAACTTGATCTACACAACGAACCCGCATTGTTACCAACCTGCTTAATACCAACCTGATCTACTCTACCAACCTGCTTTGTTACCAGCCTGGCGAATACCAACTTGATCAACTCTACCTGATTTCCTAATATCAGCCTGCTTTACTTTGCCAGCCTTGTACAAACATTCCTAATCGGCAAGCCTCACTCTTGAAGACTAATAAGGAATTCCTTTCCGGTTTCTACGAATAACCAGAGACTCTCCAACCATAAGTCGAGTAACTCTTATACAGCTAATTATATCTCTGCAAGTAATCCCAGATTCCTTAATTACAAAGTATAATTTACCTGCATTCCAAACAAGGGTTCTCTAAACTTCTATTTTATTTGCAATTCTGTAACCTTTCTGTTCTGTTTCATTTGTCTCTCTAAAAACCTATAATTTCAACTATAGGTTTTCTCACTATCAAAATATATCTTGTTAATAACCTGTCTGGGAAATATTGCATAACTGTTTTCTGTAATCCCCTTCTATCTATTACCTATAATTTCACTTATAGGTTCTCCTTCTACCTATAATCTCACTTATAGATTCCCCTCTTTTTTCAGTTCTCCCCTTTTCTCTTTCATTACTCTAGATAAGCCCCTTCTTCCTCTTTGACTTGCTAGGTATACTAAATTGTGTGTAACTGTCAAAAGTTACCAATAAAGAACCAATCGTTAACCCTGGCAATTGTCTCTTTCCTGACCTGCTTGATACCATGACACCCTATGGGGAATGTGTCTTGGTTCGATTGTTACATACAATTGTTTAATTTCTCCTTTTCATACACCATATACATGGTTAAATGTGGCCGACCACCCTTACCCAACATGGCGGCTTATGAACGTCCATCTATGTCACTTCCGTGTGACGGACAGCATTCACTAATGTCATTAACAGGAGCCAATGTATACAGACATTTTGTAATTTCTGGTGCAATGCTGGACCCGCTGACCCGTAAATTACCTAACTGGACACCTGAATTCACTAATTGAAGCCCACAGCTTTTATAAGATGAAATCTGAACTTGTGAGCCATTCACTTTTGAGAAAGCAAGGGCGAAACACGTTAGATGAGGGTCTGGAACCAGAGACTGTTCAATTCCATTGTGGACTGGTATTTATCTACTTTTATTACTTTTAAATATTGTTAATAATGTACTTTTTTTAAATTATATATATATATATATATATATATATATATATCCAGTCCTTATATTGGCTCCCTGGACATCCAGTGTATCCATAGGTGGGGATCATTCCACCCAAGCCTGTATATACATTATTGTATCCATAGACCGGGATTATATAGTCTATGCCTACAGAAATAGAGCTATATTAGCTCTAGAAAGTGAAAGTGTAAGTGTTCCATTGGCACTGCTAATGCTAACACTCTTTGCACATATTATTAAACTGTATTGCACTATCATTTTTTTCTGGTCTTTTTATTAATACATACTGTACAAAATTTTCTTCAATCGCTTTTCTCGTTATCTTTTGTGTACATCAGCGCGGTCCACCACCACCACTGTTTTTATCTGAATGAAACATACCTGTTCTCAGAAAAAAAAGATGGATGGGGTAACCTAAATTAATGACAAAAAATGTGTTAAAATAGTTTAAATTGTAATAATTAAAAGTCCAAGTTGGACAAACAAACAAGACAGACGACACTCTTATAGATCGATTATATGTGAAACATAAAAGTGACAAGAACACACACATACATAAACAAAAACTAGATGTCTACTCAGATATCTAATCGATAAGTATTGGGCTATAATTCTTACGGTCAATATAATTGTGATTGCAACAGCAGTTATGCAGATAATGGTTGAGAGGGGAAATTCTTTCTGATAAATATCTGTCGGTTTCTGACTAATACTACAGTCTACCTCAAGCTTGTACAGCAAATGCTGATGCCAATCATTGATTATGGGGATGTAGTATATGCATCTGGACTGCAATCCCACATTAATAAACATAATACATTGTATAACTCGTTCTGCCGATTTGTGCCACAATGTAATTACAGGACCCACCATTGTGACATGCTAAAATAACTAAATTGTCCGTCGCTGGAATCCAGGCGCACCCTTCATCTTTCCAGCCTTGTGTTTAATAGCTTTTTTGGTAAACTCCCACCCTACCTGAGCAAAATGCTCCCCTCAGGGCTGTTCCCACCTCCTATAACCTCTGATCCAGTACCACCACTTTATATAGTCTACCTTAATACAAAAAAGAAAGCGGCCCAATCCTCCTTCTCCTACAGAGCGCCGCAATTGTGGAACGACCTCCTGCACACTTCAAAATCTTCCCCAGGCCGAGAGCATCTCAGTACGGAACACAGTCTGAGAAACCACAAACAAAACGAACACAACACACACCGTTAACAATTAATAGGCAGCCTCAAAGAAACAGACACACATTAAACAGCGTTTGAAAAGGGATTAACTAAACAAAGACAATAGGTGAGTTGGCAGTAGAAGATTGTAGTTGCTGGCACCAACAACTCACAAACGCACACATAACTAGACAGCTAACTGAAAGTCCCAACCTGTACCAAAACATTAATAAACAACCAGGTGACACACCAATACAGACCATACGCTAGAATAACCACAAACGGATGACCAAAGAAGTGTGTAACACACAGGGTTTATACAAAACCTAGATAGTCATCTCACAAGAAAACACACGAAAAAAGTCAATTTAGCAAAGAGGCAAAAATCGAAAACTAATAAAAACAACAATCTATGGCACAAACCAACCAGGTTGGACACCACAGATAACCTCAATACCTCTCGTCCGACCCACCAAGCTAATTACAAATGCATGAGTATCCAACGTATAAGTTTATGGCAAAAAGTTAATATACACAAATGTGATTTTATATGTATGTTCAAAATGTAAATCAAGCTAATGTAAACGCAATGTTTACTCAACCCTCACTACCCTTTTTCTTCTGTACCCCTGCAATAAAAATTGTCAAATTTAAAAAAATAAAAATAAAAAAAATCTTCCCCAGGCCTAGAGTCCTTTTAAGAGATTCCTCTCTACGTACCTTAAAACAGAATGCATGTGTCATGGTTAATTATAAATGTCCTACCTGTTCTATGTTAAATTTTGTATATATTATGTATTTAATATTATTTTTGTATTTTATTGTACCATAATGTATCAATGCAATGTTTTGTGGACCCAGGACATACTTGAAAACGAGGGAAATCTCAATGTATCTTTCCTGGTAAAATATTTTATAAATAAATAAATATTGTGTGGGAGGTACTTTGGTCTTAAGATTATGATAATTGTCTTGACAGTACTGTACAGGGAGTAGTTAATATGGATGTTTAACTGCTTGATAGCCTGATCCATTACTGACTAATATGGCAACATACTCAGATGTAGTGCTGAAAAGGTTAATCCTCAAGTTGGCATCTATGATACAAGCACTTGTATATGAGGGGAGGCTGACAGGTCCCTTATTTGTATGTGATAACTCAAGTAACTGATCTCTTAAACAAATTGCTATATATTATAAGGTGATGTTCTACTACAAGTTAGTTTAGGAGCATTATATTGGAAGTATCGTGCATGAGATGAAGGAATAGGAGATCTGTTTGTATCCCCCTTATGATTCTCCTCAGGATATGCCTTAGCTCTCCTAACTCATTAAGGAGTCCCTAACAACATCATTAAGATGTAACAATTGACAATTTGGCGATAACATTATCGCTCGGTATAAGTGTACAATGAAAAGTCCTGTGCTGAACTGGTAATGGTTTTGGTCATTCACTTATATGGCTATTATGATAAAGAGAAGGAAAAATCTGAATCCCTGGAATTGTCAAAGACCGTTCTTCTGTATTTGGACTATTATGATCCATTATTTCCCCCTGTTTCTCTAGTATATAAAAATAAATAAAAATAAAAATGTAGTGTTGTTAGTCTGATAAGCTTTTAGGCTGTTTTACAGCGCTGTATACAAATGCTAAATGTCAGTGCAATATATGTAGAGTCCCTGACAAGCACTCCTGTCTGTCTGTTAAGCTCGATATATGTCTAAATAGGAAGCTTTTACGGTTGCTGCCTGCCAGTAGAGACCCCTGAAAAAAAAAAAACTTCCGATTGAACGAAGCTGTCTGATAACATTACGTTAGTATTCCATGCTTACGACAAAACATTTCTCATCACAATTATCTAAGGCTGTTCAATATACTGATTCTTAGACCTTTAAAGATAGCCCTAAATCACCTGTTCTCAGCCAACGAAAATAGAGGCATGTCGTCTGTAGTGTAAGGAATGCTCACAGCACAGACTGCACTGCCGAAACAAGGCTAGAACCCATCTGTGCTCTTCTCCCTCCTTCCATGTGCAAGTCATAAATTCTCCTCCAGCACGTCAGCCAACCTTTGAACCCATTGTTAACCCCTTCCCTGCCAGCCAACCTCCCTACCAAGTGGTATGTAAGTTCTAGCGTCTGAATGCCTAGGACTAAAAGGAGGCTTGGGCAGGCATTGTGTGTATGTGTAGAGTGATGCAAATTACATCACTAAGCTCAGACATGCCCACATAGGCATGTCATTACTGATTCCTATAGAGAATGGATCATTAGTGTACAGTCTAGGTGAAATACAGGAAGCGGGGGAAATGACATGCAATCAGAGGAAGAGCAGAACATCAGATCAAAGTAAAGATTAATAAAGGCACTTCTAAAGCTAATGTTTACACTATTTAGGGAGAAAAGCTCTACTGACACTAGATTTACTGTTGGGGTGTGGGGGAACAAGCATATGCATGTTTTTCACAGCTCCTTAAATGAAAAGGTTTTGGTGTATGGATTATGCTCCTACACTCTCACTGATCAATTCTATGTCATTTAGGCATCAAATAACTTTGCTTATGCACAGCAAACATGAAAAAAAAATAAAAAAAAAATTAATTGTCAGAATTCAACAGTTACACTGCAGGGGCATGATTATACACCAAAACCACTTTATTAAGATAAAGTTGTTTTGATTCTTAGTGTCGTTTTAATTCTGTCAGATGTGGTGAATTACATGCCTACTTAAATTGCTATGGCAAATGTGATAACGTTCATATCAATATTGTTAATTATTGCAATTGTTGATTCTGTCTTTTTATTTATTCATTTATTTAAAGGCAATGGTCGCTTGCTACCCAGGAAAAGGGACAGGATATGTGCGACATGTCGATAATCCAAATGGAGATGGAAGATGTGTCACATGTATATACTATCTGAACAAAGGATGGGATGTAAAGGTAGAGTTATATTAATAACATTGTCTAAGGATGTTTTCAAAATCTACAAACAGATCAAGATAGACAACTGTGCCTAAAATTAAATGGAGAGCAGCCCCAGTAAGGACTCTTCTCCCCAGTTCATATATATATCTCAAAAAAACAAAAAGGTTATTGTCGGGAAAAGTTTGTGATTGGAAATCCTTTCCACCTGACGTCTGTGGATAGTTGTATAATCCCTGTGTGTTACACACTCCTTTGGTCATCCGTTTGTGGTTATTCTAGCGTATGGTCTGTATTGGTGTGTCACCTGGTTGTTTAAACAAAAAAATCTGCATGCAAGGTCTCTAACATCCACCAGCTCTGTGATGATGTCATGGAGGAGTGGAAGAAGACTCCAGTGGCAACCTGTGAAGCTCTGGTGAACCCCATGCCCATGAGGGTTCAGGCAGTGCTAGAAAAAAATGGTGGCCATTATATTGACACTTTTGGCCCAATTTTGGACATTTCCACCTTTGTTGCCAACAGTTTAGACATTAATGGCTGTGTGTTGAGTTATTTTGAGGGGATAGCAAATTTACACTGTTATACAGGCTTTACACTTACTATTTTACAGTGTAGCAGAGTCATTTCTTCAGTGTTGACACATGAAAAGATAAAATATTTACAAAAATGTGAGGGGTGTACTCAATTTTCTGAGATATTGTGTGTGTGTATAAATTTACTCATACTTAACATAATTTTCTTTTCCTGGTCATAGGCCATGGCAGCACAACATTGGGTAGCCCCTCCCTATCTCTAATTAGACACTAACTAATTAAAATAAAGGTACAAATACCTCCTCCTCCTCTTTCAGTCTTGTAATCAGCAATATCCCTGGGTGGGATCTTTGTGCTGCCATGGCCTATTTCCTGGCAATATCCATGGCAGCACAGCCATGTAATACCCAAGCTACAGCCAAGGGAGGGAAAATAACATTCAGATTACAAATTATATAATGCCAGTGTATTAGCACGATCAAACCAAACGTGACACTAATTACAATAGATCAACTTATTTGTTAGATGCAGAAAGGACAGATCTGCCAAACTGATCAGATTGACCAGCCTTTACGTCTATACGATAATGTCTTGTAAAAGTATTTGAAGACGACCAAGTAGCTGCTTTGCAAATTAGTTCTGGAGAAACTTTTGCCGCTGCTGCCCAGGATGAAGAGAGAGATCATATAGAGTGTGCTTTCAAACTTTCAGTGATCCTTGCCTTAGATGCTTTATAGGCTTGGATAATAGCTGAGACAATCCTTGGTTGCTTCATCTAAGTGTTGATTCTAAGTGTGTGGTTGGAGATATTCTGGAGAGTTTTACAGAAACTTCAACTGTCTAAGATTTGTGCTAAGAGTTTTCTTTTATACTGTTACAGGTAAGATTGATCTGTAGGAAAAGGTTATTGATTGCACAAGGTTTGATTTCCTGTTGGTAAATATAAGGCATTTGATTTGATTAGTTAGCTACTTGCTAACTTGCTATTGATTGCTGTTTAATTAGCTATTGTTTGCAAATAAGCAGAGGCCCACCCAGGTGTTAAACATTCCTAGTGGGTGGTGATTTCAGGAGATATATAAGGGTTGTTGTCATTAGCTTGGCTAATATAGTTTGGTTGCTTCTAAGTGTGTGGTTGGAGATATTCTAGAGAGTGCTGCTTCCAAGTTTGTGGTTGGAGATATTCTGGAGATAACCTGGAGGTAATCTGAGGTATTCAGGAGGATAAATAAAAATTAAGATTTGTTTAAATTATTCACCTCATTGGAATGGCAGACTTAGTTCAGTGTAATAGTTGCTATGCATTTGTTTCACGTTCCACTTTTTGGAGGTTTGGTTGTTGTCTAATCTGTAGACCGTTCTCTATCTTGCGGCAGGAGATTGTATTTTTGAAGTCTGAGATTTGTAAATTATCTGGTAAACAAACTCAGGCTGGAACTGCTGCAAGCCACTGCTGCAGAGACATACTAGGAATGGCAGATGGATTACTGTAGGATCTGGTAGACCTTAGAGTTGTGGATAAAAGGCATATTGCACAGTCTGTTGCTCTACATAATTCATTTTCTGCACTTTCAGAGTGTAATGGTGTTGTGGAGAGAGAGGCACCGAGGGCAGTGGTGTTGTGGAGAGAGAGGCACCGAGGGCAGTGGTGTTGTGGAGAGAGAGGCACTGAGGGCAGTGGTGTTGTGGAGAGAGAGGCACTGAGGGCAGTGGTGTTGTGGAGAGAGAGGCACTGAGGCTAGTGGTGTTGTGGAGAGAGGGGCACTGAGGCTAGTGGTGTTGTGGAGAGAGGGGCACTGAGGCTAGTGGTGTTGTGGAGAGAGGGGCACTGAGGCTAGTGGTGTTGTGGAGAGGGGCACTGAGGCTAGTGGTGTTGTGGAGACAGGCTCAATCACTGAGGCTAGTGGTGGTGTGGAGACAGGCTCAGGCACTGAGGCTAGTGGTGTTGTGGAGACAGGCTCAGGCACTGAGGCTAGTGGTGTTGTGGAGACAGGCTTGGAGACTATGGTGAGGCCTAATAGAAAGCAGTTGTTGTTGGGGGATTCTATCATAAGAGGTGTGGGGATGGACAATGGTGGTCTTGTGAGGTGTCTTCCCGAAGCTACTGCTCACAGAGACAGGAGACATATCTGTAACATTGTTAAGCGAGCAAAGCAGGAAGGGGAATTGGATGTACTTGTCCATCTAGGGACAAATGACTTGGCTTGCAATGAGGTTTCAGATGTTAAAGGACCACTATAGTGCCAGGAAAACATACTCGTTTTCCTGGCACTATAGTGCCCTGAGGGTGCCCCCACCCTCAGGGTCCCCCTCTCGCCCGGCTCTGGAAAGGGGTTTAAACTTACTTTTTTCCAGCGCTGGGCAGAGAGCTCTCCTCCTCCGATCCTCCTCCGTTCCGCCCCGTTGGCTGAATGCGCACGCGCGGCAAGAGCTGCGCGCGCATTCAGCCGGTCTCAAAGGAAAGCATTTACAATGCTTTCCTATGGACACTGGCGTGCTCTCACTGTGAAAATCACAGTGAGATGCATGCAAGCGCCTCTAGTGGCTGTCAATGAGACAGCCACTAGAGGATTAGGGGGAAGGCTTAACCCATTAATAAACATAGCAGTTTCTATGAAACTGCTATGTTTATTAAAAAATGGGTTAACCCTAGCTGGACCAGGCACCCAGACCACTTCATTAAGCTGAAGTGGTCTGGGTGCCTAGAGTGGTCCTTTAAGGAAGTTTTAAGTGTTTTTTTGCCAATGATATACGGCAGGTTGCTTCCACACTGTCATTCTCTGAAGTTCTGCCTGTGCATAACACTCAGAACGACAGGCGGATGCGTATTAAGGACTTAAATTTGTGGCTTGGTGAATGGTGACGGGAGCAAGGATTTGGATTTATTCCTCATGGTAGCTCTGTTTGTAATGGAAATAAACTGTACAAAAAAGATGCTTTGCATCTTTCTCAAAAGGGAATAAATGTTCTCAGTGAGCAGTTCAGAGGTTTTGCTAGGATGTATTTAAACTGGGGGAGGAGGACACAAAAGGGTGATAAAACATCAATCCAATTGCCCCCCAAAACAAGGACAGAAGGTGCCTGTAGCAAGTGTGTTAAAAAATGACAAGCTTAGAGTCATGTCTACAAATGATCGCAGTTTAGGGAATAAGATCCATGAACTTGTGGTAATAATGGCAACTGATAGTGTAGATTTAGTCGCTGTTACTGAGACATGGTATAATGAGAAAAATGACTGGGACGTAGCAATACCAGGTACTCTTTATATAGAAAAGACAGGGAAGGCAAGAAAGGGGGAGGAGTGGCCCTGTATGTGAAGGATAGCATAACATCTAGCCTAATAAAAGTTAGTGAGACAAACATAGAGTCCGTTTGGGCTACGTTAGAATTTGGTAATCACACAGTAACTCGTGTAGGTGTGATTTATAGGACCCCAGGACAAATTGAAGAGTTAGATAATCTACTAGTTGAGAAAATATCTAAAATGATAATGAAGGGGGAAGTTATCACCATGGGTGACTTTAATCTTCCTGATGTGAATTGGAAAACAAAAATATTTGCTTGTGCCAGGAGCACACATATTCTAAACTCCCTCCTGGGATTGTCTCTAAAACAAGTCGTTGAGGAGCCAACTCGTAAAGAGGCCATACTAGATTTAATTTTAACAAATGGAGATTTGGTATCAGATATTACTGTAGGTGATAGTTTAGGATCCAGTAATCATTAGCCAGTGTGGTTTAATATAAGAACATTGACTGAGTCACACCATACAAAAACAAAAGTTTTAGACTTTAGAAAAACATACTTTTCTAAAATTAGAATATGTGTAAAGGAGTCATTATCAGACTGGAACAATTTAAATGGAGTCCAAGAGAAATGGGATTATGTAAAAGTTGCACTACTGAAGGCAACAGAAAATTGCATTAGGCTTGTCAGTAAAAGCAAAACAATTCAAGAAACCACAACAACAAAAAGTTAGCATTTAGTAATTCTAAAAAAACCAGAGTGAGGAACACAGAATGATCTATAAGATTAGGCAGAAAGAGGCTAAGCAAGTTATAAGAGCTTCCAAATCACACCCAGAAGAGAAAATAGCAGTCAGTAAAAAAGGGGGACAAAACTTTTTTTTTTAGATACATAAATGAGAAAAGAAAAGTAAAACAAGGATTAGCTAGATTAAAAACAAAAGAAGGAAGGTATGTAGAAGAGGATAAAGGTCTAGCTGACTGCCTCAGTTAATATTTTTGTTCTGTATTTACAGATGAAAATGAAGGAAAGGGACCTCAGTTGAGAAAAGGATAAATGAGTCACTTATTACACGTGAGTTTACAGAGGAAGAGGTTCTATTTCAACTGTCAAAAGTAAAGACAAATAAGTCAATGGGACCTGATGGAATACACCCAAAGCTATTAAAAGAGCTTAGTGGTGTACTAGGAAAAACCATTAACAGATTTATTTAACCAATCATTGTTACAGTAGTCCTGGTAGACGCGAAGCACGTTGTGCCCATTTACAAGAAAGGTAATAGGGAGGAGTCGGGCAACTATAGGCCAGTAAGCCTTACTTCATTAGTGGGGAAAGTGATGGAACCATGTTAAAGGATAGGATTGATGAACATCTAAAAACACATGGATTTCAAGATCAGAGACAACATGGGTTTACTTCAGGGAGATCATGCCAAACTAATCTTATTGATTTTTTTGATTGGGTAACTAAAAATTATAGATCAGGGTGGTGCAGTAGACATTGCTTACCTAGATTTCAGTAAGGCTTTTGACACTGTTGCACATAGAAGGCTTATCAATAAACTGCAATCTTTAGGTTTGGATTCAAATATTGTTGAATGGGTAAGGCAGTGGCTGAGTGACAGGCAACAGAGGGTTGTAGTTAATGGAATATATTCGAGGCTTGGATTTGTCACCAGTGGGGTACCTCAGGGATCTGTACTTGGACCTATTCTCTTTAATATTTTTATTAGTGATATTGCAGAAGGTCTTGATGGTGGGCAGGTATGCCTTTGCTGATGATACCAAGATATGTAATATGGGTTGATGTTCCAGGAGGGATACAAAATGACAAATGATTTAGGTGGGAACTGAAAAATGGTCGAATTGTGGGCAACTGATTATTTAATGTGGATAAGTGCAAGATAATGATTCTGGATCGCAAAACCTAAGCAAGGTGAGGCTAGAATATTTGATAGAGTCCTAACCTCAACATCTGAGGAAAGGGATTTAGGGGTAATTATTTCTGATGACTTAAAGGTAGGCAGACAATGTAATAGAGCAGCAGGAAATGCTAGCAGAATGCTTGGTTGTATAGGGAGAGAGGTATTAGCAGTAGAAAGAGGGAAGTGCTCATGCCATTGTACAGAACACTGGTGAGACCTCACTTGGAGTATTGTACACAGTACTGGAGACCGTATCTTCAGAAGGATATTGATACCTTAGAGAGAGTTCAGAGAAGGGCTACTAAACTGGTTCATGGATTGCGGATAAAACTTACCAGGAAAGGTTAAAGGATCTTAACATGTATAGCTTGGAGGAAAGACGCAGACAGGCGGATATGATAGAAACATTTAAAATATATAAAGGGAATCACACAGTAAAAGGAGGAGACTATATTTAAAAGAAGAAAACTACCACAACAAGAGGACATAGTCTTAAAATTAGAGGGACAAAAGGTTTAAAAATAATATCAGGGAAGTATTACTTACTGAGAGGTAGAAGTGATGGCTGAGGTCAGGGGCCTCTTGAAGCCAGAAGTGAGGGTTAAATTGTGCAGCGAAAGTTTATACAAAGGGATAGGGCATGGGTTATTATCCTAACTATAAGATAAGACTAGGGACTAATGAAAGTATTTAGAAAATTGGGCAGACTAGATGGGCCGAATGGTTCTTATCTGCCGTCACATTCTATAAATAGACAAATATAGTCTGATCTCAAATTATAAAATAAATGTAATTAAATCCACTTTTTTAGCAATAAATATCTCTAGAGATTCTATTCAACAGATTAAAGATAAATATAAATTTAATTGTAACAAAAATTTGTTATCGTATTTGGGTATAATTCTCACTGATGATGTAAAAGATACGCTCCAAATAAATTTTCTGAAAATATTTAGATCGACACATGAGTCTTTAAAGAGATGGAGACAAACTGAACTGTCCTGGTGGGGCAGAATTAATCTGGTTAATTCGTATTTACTCCCTAAATGGTCTTATTTATTCCGTATGATCCCTTTGAGAATGCCACAACCATGGTTATCTATGATACAACGAGATATAAATATTTTTATATGGAAAGGAAAAAGGCCGAGGATGAATAAACAACTTTTGATGCAGAAGACTAGGAAAGGAGGGATAAATTTTCCAAATGTTAATATAACTTATCTAGCAAATATGATGTTCCATATATATAAGACACAATTATTAAGTTCAGAGGAAGCTGGTTGGTACCAATTAGAATTGGAGATGACAGAAATGGAAAATTTACATCATCTGATTTGGCTAATTAAACAAGACGAAAGAACCAAAAAGGCCTCTTCCTCTAATACATGTTTGAAATCTATATTAATGGAGTGGGAAAAGTTGAGGATCAATAGTGGTTTATCTAATAAATTATTGGGAAATTTTAATTTCAGTATAATCCAACTAAGGATGAAGGATCTAAATTTAAGGGAATGGACAAGGAAAGGCATTGACTCTATAAATCAAATAATAATGGGTGATAAAATTAAATCATTTGAAAATCTGATACAAGAATTTTCATTACCCTGGAAGGAGTGGTATAATTACTTAAGAATTGGAAGTTTTATCAAACAATTTTTGCTATACCGACCTACAGTGGGTATAGAAAATCTGATAGTTTTATTAAAAAATGAGATTGTACCGCAAATAGTCTCAAAGGCAAGGATTGCTCTTCTCCAAATTGAAGCTCCAAATTTAAATGTAAATATCCAAAAATGGAGTAAAGAGTTAAATGTACAGATTCTTAAGTCTGAATGGGATCAAGTGTTATATCAAACAAGTAAGATAATCCATTGCTTGAACCTTCTCGAAGTATTATTTAAATTAATGAACCGCTGGTATTTAGTCCCTACCAGACTAGCTAAAATGTATACCTCCAATTCTCCAATTTGCTGGAGATGTAACGAAAAAGAGGGGACCTTTGGACACATATGGTGGGAGTGTAGTAAGGTGAAAATTCTGTGGTATATGGCTTTCGAATCACTGGACAACATCACAGGAATAAAAATCCCTAGAGGTCATCATAATGGTTTATTTCACTTAAATTTGCAATCACTCCTTTTCAAGGATAAATTTATATACGTCCACTTTGTAGCAGCAACAAAAATAATCATTGCAAGGAACTGGAAGAGTAGTGCAAATTTTACACAAGCCCAATTATATTCTCAAGTCCAATATCAATTAAACATGGAGGCCCTCGGACATCAGTCAATTAAAATTAGAGATGTCAGTGGAGAGTTTGGCCAGATAAAACTCTGGATAAAATAAAGTAAATATATAATTTCTCTCTTTTTCCTACATCTTTATCTGTTTATTATCTTAAGGTAGTGAAATAGAGGTGTCACTGAAGTACCCCAAGAAGAGTTTGCAATGCATAAAAATTAATGTTTGTCTTTATATGTTTGTTATGTATATCATATTAATGAAGTTTGGAATGCCATCTACCTAACTTAAGTAATAACCAATCGTGAATTAAGTTGCCTTATATGATAGATAAAAGGAACTTTAATATTAGAGGGAATGCTGGATAAAATTTTTCTAGATATGTAGACTGTTTTTTCTTCTTTCTTTTTTCCCAATATGGCATTTGGTCTAGATCTAGAAAATAACTTAGTAGTATAATGAAAAGGGGAAAAAGCTCTAATATCACAAAGACTATTATATGTGCAATAGTTCTGAGTATACATATAATTTTACAATTTTTATCTAATTGGTGATAGATGGCAACACTTTTTATGTTAAAAAAAAAAAAAAATGTTTTATACAGAAAGTGCAGTATGGAGTATTAGGTGTACTTACCCTTATTGTGGATGAATTAGGATACCACATTTTGATACTAATCATTCTGATCAGTTAGTTGAATGGAAGTCCTCCTTCTGTTGAGATAAAAAAAACTGAACCAATGATATTAAATAGACATGTGCATTCATTTTCGTACGAGTACGATTTCATCTGAAAATTCAGGTTTTTTTTCCTACAAACGAAATATAAATGAAACGAAAGGGCAAATGGCGAATGCATTACCTATTCGTTTCAGTCTGTTAGTTTAATAGACTCTGGGCTACAGGGGAATTAACCCCCACAGCACGGAGAAATAACTGTGCATGCAAGACACACACACACACACACACACACACAAAAATATATTATTCCTACCCTCCCCCTGCATTAAAACCTATGGGGGTCACTATGACCCTCATATTAATAAAAGGGAGGTATGCCGCATGTAGGGGCATGTTGCCTAAACAAATGTAAAAGTACTAGTGACTGGGCAGCTATTTCTGCCCAGTAACTAGTGCAAAAAGGGGGGACCTGGCACAGCCTCCCTCCTTCCCCATGGTGGGAAACACAAATACCTAAAATGATAGAGTGACCTGTGGGTGGGGGCTTTTAATATTAATGGGGCGACCTAATGTTCCCCCAGGTTCCCACCCATGAGTGGTGGGTGGGGACCCTAACTAAATAAATAATGGGGGGACCTAATGTCCCCCCCAGGTCCCCACATATAAGCGTCAGGTGGGGACCCTAATTAAATAAATAATGGGGGGACCTATTGCCTCCCAGGTCTCCACCCATTAGTGGTGGGTGGGGACCCTAATTAAATAAATAATGGGGGGGACTTAATGCCCCTAATTAAATAATGGGGAGGACCTAATGTCCCCCCCAGATCACCACTCATGAGTGGCGGATGGGGACCCTAAATAAATAATGGGGGGACCTAATGTTCCCCCCTGCCCCATATGCGGCGGGTGGGGACCCTATTAATTAATTAATGGGGGGCACCTAATGTCCCCCCTGGGTCTACACCCATGACCGGCGGGTGGGGACCACAAATAATAAAGTGAGTAGGGGTCCCCAGGTCCCTAGTCACTCCCCCCCCAATAAAAATACCCTACCTATCCCCATCACCCTAATAATAGTGAGAGGGGATAGATAGGTGTGAAATAAAATTTCATACTTACTATTTGATTTCTTCTTTTTTTCTAAAAAACATTATTTTTTCAGCCCCCAAAAAAGCCAAATAAGAAACCATAATACCCGTTGAACTTTGAAAATAAAATTAAAAAAAGAGTGCAAAAAAATAAACCCTGTGACAGTAAAAAAGAATCAATCTTCACCCATGGAGGGTGAAGCCTTCCCACCTCCCCACACCCTGCAGTTAGGCTCAGAGCGCACAGATTGGTTGGTTTAAGCCAACCAATCAGACTGCTCTGACAGGTAAATGAAGATACTGACAGGTAAGTCTCAAGTGCTCTGTGTCATTTTACACAGCATGGGAAAGTTCTTTGGAATTTTCCCATGCTGTGTAATTTGACTTATAACACTGTGATTGGTTGCTTTTCAAAAAAGAAAGCAACCAATCAGAGAAAAAAATGAATGGTTTGCGGACGAAATTCGGGATTGACTAATTACATTTTTATATAGTACAAAATCATTTGTACAAAACGAAAATTACACTGGTGCACATGTCTAATATTAAACATGG